AATAGCAGGATGTTGTGAGTTAAGGTATTCTAAAAAAATTGAGCATTGATCACTATTATTAAAAAGAATAAAAGTGTCATCCACATACCTTCTGTACAGAACAGGCCTAAAGTTAACTGGGCAGATGTCAAGCCATTTCTGTACGTAATAAGAGAGAAATGCATTAGCTAAAGTTGGGCCTATTGGAGAGCCCATCGCAACGCCATCTATTTGTTCATACAAGGTGTTGTTGAACAGGAAGTGTGAATTCTTTATGGTAAAATCCAGCATGGTCTTAATTTGATTTTCAGAAAAGCCATTTAGAGGAATGTTATTACGTGAAAGCTCATTATACATATATTAATAGTTTCATTTAGGGGAATATTTGTAAAGAGGGAGGTAACATCAAAGCTCGCCATGAAGAGATTATCTGAGGAGGGTAGTCGACTTAGTTCACGTTCAAAGTGGAAGGAATCCGGGATAGTATATTCATTAGTAGATTATCTGAGGAGGGTAGTCGACTTAGTTCACGTTCAAAATGGAAGGAATCCGGGATAGTATATTCATTAGTAGATTATCTGAGGTGGGTAGTTGACTTAGTTCACGTTCAAAATGGAAGGAATCCGGGATAGTATATCCATTAGTAGTGATATACATTATAAAACTTTGTTTATTTTATTCACAACGTTTCACCAGGCTTACCTGGTATCATCAGGTGGGATACAAGAACTGAGACTAACAGAATTTAGTTTAAAAAGAATCACGTGAGAATCACTAACAATAGTAATCTACAAGCATACGACTAGACAGTTTCTTTTACAGTTAAAAAGAACTTATCAACTTTCTACTGGTACATATCAATTTCTTCGTCCCTCAGATTCCATTGCTTGTCAAATTTATGGTCTTCCCAAAACCCACAAACCTGATTTCTCCTTAAGTCCTATTGTTTCTGCAAACAAAGCTTACAATTACAACCTAGGAAAACTTTTCGCTTGGATGTTTTCGAAATATGTTTTACTATGTACGACCGACAAAATTTGTGTGAACTTTAAAAACATGTTTCTTTCTAATATTTAATTCAAAGCATTAATTCAGTTTTTCAGAACAGTACGCACTCTGTTCTCACATAGTGTGAACATATATGTATATATATATATATATCTGTAACAGAGGTGTTGTGCTAACTTTTTATTCATTTTTACAGCCGAATTCGCCTAAAATCTAAAGAAGCGTATGATAGGCAACTTATTAATGCATAAGTTATTCTGACAGATTTATTTATAAATGCCCCTAATTTTTCCTAACCTGAAAATATTTTACATCACTGGAATATTCTACCACCAGGTGTCCTTAATGGAATCCTGGAAGCTTGTTGTTTTTAACTACAAGTAAAAATGGTTTTCAAAGCAATGCTGAACATGAAGTCTACGTTAAACATATGGGAACAAAATCTTAATAATTGTTTTAACCAAATTGTTTAAAATTAATACTTGTTACAAATTTTGAAATAACCCATGCACGTACTTCTTAAGAGTTAGAGATTTATCTGAGTTTATATTTATGTGAAGTATACAACATCTTAAATACATGCATCTAAAGTGTTTATAATTTAGCCCCTTATTATACATGCGTAACTGTTTGTTTGTAATTAAGCACAAAGTTACACAATGGGCTATCTGTGCTCTGACCACCACATGTATCGAAACCCGGTTTCTAGCGTTGTAAGTCTGCAGACATACCGCTGTGCCACTGGGGGGCCCATGCGTAACTACCTACGCCCTTATTAAAAAATAAGAAATATTTGTTTTGTAAAATGCACATTATGAAAACACATTATAATGGCTTTTTAATTGTATTTTATACAATTTATATAACATTATTCGAAGCAGCGAAGACTCTCCTTTTCATAATTTGGATCTTTAATACCTCAATACAAAATTATTCTGAACTGTTAGTTTTCCAAAACAATGAATCATTTACTAAATATTTATTGTGAAATAAAATTCTATTTGTTTTCGAATTCCTTAAAAACATAAATTTAATATCATTTCGTATAACACTGCAGTGCTTGGAAATATATTGTTCTACTAATATGTCTGAAATTTTGTTCAAAATAATACACTAAGTGAAAATATTCGAGAACACTATCATGAAAAAACAATCCACAATAGCCGAGGCACTTGAAATTATTTTAGGCAGGATTAGAGTAAATTAATCTATATGACTTTTTTTTTCCTTTTATTAACTATAGTTTTCTGTGCCAGCAATATCAAGCGTGGGGCGCGCGTTTACCCGATTTAATTTTAACCAGCCACCCTCAAATTGAAATTCTTTTAGGCAGGTTTAGACCTTGGGCATGGTCAAATAAATCAATCAAAAGGGTTTGACCTCCTGAGTCCAAAACTGTAATTATACCTCAAATCGGGCAAGAGGTGACGGAGCAATAAGCTAAAAGTTTGTACTTGAAATAATAAAAAAAAAACTCAGAGCCGCTATGCCGCGTCTAAAAAAACACACCCAAAAAATCACTAACTAAAGCTGTTGTTGTTCTCATAGTACAAAGCTTAACAATGGGTTATCTACACTCTGCCTACCGCGGGGAATCGAGCCTAAGATTTAAGCATTGTAATCCGTAAACCTACTGTTGACTCACAGGGAACAGAAACTAAATAAATAATGAATTTCATTGACGTTTTCTGTTGCCCACTAGATGAATTTATCAATTTTATTTTGATAGTATATGGTTTAAAAACTTTTAACTGTGACAACAATGGTGATCCACATTATCTTTCCAAGAAGGTTACAGTGTAATGAAAATATCTATTACAAAACAAACTTTCTAACATCATATAATAAATTCATTTTTTGAATTAATTTCTAAAATATCCAGGGATTACCTCCATCAGTCATGTTCTGTAAACTTATTGAAATGCTGCAATCTTCAAATATGATAAGTACATTAAAAAATGGTAACAATTTTTCCAGAAAACTAAGAGTTTATCGTTTCCATTACCACAGTCAATGGAATTATCAAGAAATTGCGTGTCTCTTTGTATGTAAAGTGACATTTCATAAAAAAAAAATATTTGATTGAGTTGGCTTTTTGTCGAAAATAATTTCAATAAAAGTCGATTTTTGTTGGATAAAAAACAACTAATGTCTCCACAACTAAAAGACATACAAAAAACAATATTTTATACTACATCGTATCTGGTTTCTATGGTTAGCACTTCTCAATTTTCGGAGTTAGTGAAGTGTTGAGAAACAAAATTTATTCTCAATTTATTCTCATTTCTAATTTCCAAACTAATCTGCCACCATAACATCATAGAAACCCAAACTATTTTTGATTCAATGGTTATTTTATTAGATGGACTTCATCTGTGTTTGGTGATGATGTGTTACTGTTGTTCTACTTAAATGGTAATCTGATTTAATGTAAAAACACATCAACAAATTTCATGGGTGAGTCAATGAGTTTTTGTTTCTGGACTGAGCTCAGACTGGTAGAACAATTCACAGCTAGTGGCCTCAGATGCTTGGGAAGCTATGCATTCACCTTTGAAAGTGTCAAATATTCGTTCAACTTACTATTTAATTCAAGTCATTCTGTAATACCTGCCTGGCATGGCCTAGTGGTTAGGGCGGTCGACTCACAATGTGAGGGGTCCGAGTTCGGGTGTAAATATTCTTGGTTTACAAAAATACTGGCCGACCCCAAACTAATTGGAATTAAGATCGTAACGGGTAAAAAATTTATAATAACTCAATATTTTCAATACAACTAGAATTGCCCAAAAATTTAATCTCATTAGCAAACTTTACTGAGTTACTAAGGTCCCCATCGATATCATAATAGAAGTTTAGGCCTCATTTGGAATATTGTATACAGTTTTGGTCTCATAATTTAAGAAAGGATTCAGATAAAAAGACCAGAGGAGCTACTAGGATAATCTTGGACGTGGATGAGTTATGTCTTAGGGATACGTTAAGATATACTAACACTTGTTCTCTTCAGAAAATAACAGTAAGTGATGCCCTTACTAAAGTTTAAAAGGTTATTCGTGGAAATATATAGGACAATTTCCTCTGATTTTCTGTGCTATATTCGGAAGATAATAAGACAAGTAGACACAAGATTAAGATCTGTAGAAGTCAAGCTAGGATCAAGTTAAAAGTTTTATTATTCTAACAGGATGACTGATTTACAAAATATGTTATTGTCGGTAGTAGTGGGGATTTGTGTTTATTTTATAGCAAAGCCACATTGAGCTATCTGCTGTGTCCACCGTGGGAATAGAACCCCGGATTTTAGATTTGCAAGTCCGTAGTGGAGACCTGCACTTTATAAGAGTTTAAAATGGGAATCAACAATTTCCTGAAGAATAAATAGTGGATTTTAAATTTTACATTCATTAATGGTGGGTGTGAAAGGAGTATGTTGAAGGACCAAGCGGTCCCTAGTTGTTTATATGTTAGGTTAATGCAAACAAGTAAAAAACATAGGTCCAAGTTTTGATTCCTGGGGCGCTCCACTTGCAAAAAAGAGCCCCTAACAACAATATTTCAACCACAAAACTAACCAGTTAAACTAGTTATTCTCCAACCATTTTTGATATAATGTTTTACCTAATCGCATAGCGTTGATCCACCGAAGGCCTCACAATACCATGGCGACGGTGAGATTTCGTCCAAGTTGGTACTCAAGGGTGAAATCTACTTCCGAGATTTTCTCTACCCATTTTAGTTACCTGAACTTAAGATTTTATAAATAGAAATCTTACGAGGCAAAAAAATGCTAGAAATGTTTTTGTTTTTATTTCAGACCATTTTTAATAAAAGCGTACAAAGAAAATATTTTTATACTATTTGATGTATTTTTAATAACTTGTAATATATTCGTCAGGGGACACTGTTTCGAAAATTATACGTCATCAAGGGCTTTAAAATTTGGGTGTGTGTGTATAAGAGACAAGATAGTGCAAAGTTCTTAGAAGTTAGATCAGATTTGAAGTTTAGGATACAGGACAAAGTTTTACAATGTTTTCGTGGTTACATAGAAACGAGGACCGTATGAAACATCCAGAAATTTTCGAAAATGTCGTCGAAGGCTTGAAGAAAGTATACAAGACTAAAGTTTTACCATTGGAGGAAACTTACCTTTTTCATGATTTTCATTCACCGCTTCTTGATGAACCTGATTTCGATGCTAAGCCAATGGTTTTACTAGTCGGGCAGTATTCCACTGGAAAAACCACATTCATTAGATACTTGCTGGAAAAGGACTTCCCAGGTATACGTATTGGCCCAGAACCTACCACAGATAGGTTTATTGCAGTTATGTACGGGGAACAAGAAGGTATTGTTCCTGGAAATGCATTGGTTGTAGATCCTAAAAAACAATTCAGACCACTTTCAAAATTTGGAAATGCCTTCTTGAACCGATTCCAGTGTTCTATGTTGAAGTCTGACGTTTTGAAAAGTATGACAATTGTTGATACTCCTGGTATTTTGTCTGGAGAAAAACAACGAGTTGATAGAGGCTATGACTTTACAGGTGTTTTAGAATGGTTTGCTGAAAGGGTAGATAGAATTATTCTTCTGTTTGATGCTCATAAATTAGATATCTCTGATGAATTTCGAAGAAGCATTGAAGCTTTGAGGGGCCATGATGATAAAATAAGAATCGTGTTAAACAAAGCCGATATGATAGATCATCAGCAGCTTATGAGAGTTTATGGTGCTTTAATGTGGTCTTTAGGAAAAGTTTTACAAACCCCAGAAGTTGCAAGAGTTTACATTGGATCTTTTTGGGACCAGCCACTAAAGTATGATGTCAACAGAAAGTTGTTTGAAGCAGAAGAACAAGATCTTTTTCAAGACATCCAAAATTTACCGAGAAATGCAGCTCTTAGAAAATTGAATGATTTAATTAAGAGAGCTCGACTTGCTAAGGTAGGCTTTATAGATGAGAAAGTAAAAGTATGTAAACATTTGAAGATGTGTGATAAAATATGGGAGCATTTACAAAGTCCATTTAGGATTTGATTTTGGTTTTATAATTGTATGAGAAAAGTTTTAAATTTTCCTTCAGTCTCTCAAGAAAAGTAAAAAATATTCCATTCTTCTTCTTTTGGTGATTTACATTGTTATAGTTCATTACAATTTACCTCATGATTAGACAACAACAAAGTAAGATGTGGAGAACAAAGGACCATTTGGTCCTTCAGAGCTGATCCAGCACACTTGCCTTTAAGAAAATGTATTTTACAAGAAATCATTTGATTCCCCTTTTTAGCTCTTTTTAAATGCTGATCACCGCTTCTGCCAACATACACTTATACTGTAAGCCTGTTACATAATAAATTAATTATAAGGAATTTTATTTCATAATAGCCCCAAAATTTCCCACATTAATTCCATTCCTGATATTAGATTAATAATTTCAAAGCTTCTCTTTAAAGCTGATGGACTTGCATTTAAAACTATTATCGAACATTCTATGCTCTAAGTATTTTTCCAATCTTACCATTGCCTTACCTATCTTATGAATTTGGTTATTCTCAATTTCCCAAGCTTCCTCACCGCTATGCAAGTTTAGTTTAAAGTAATGAATTTCTTGAGAGCTCGTCCAAACATCCTACCCAGCGTACTTAAGTAGAGCCCATCTGTAGCATATAATCTTAAACTGTTCCCAAGCTCAGCCATCCCACCAGTTACTCTAAGCATATTTTTGATAATCTTTCATTTAAGATATGGGCTTTACTAAGTATAAGCAGATCTTCTGATTTATAATTTCCAACATCATTCATTCCTACATGCACATGAAAAAGAGAATGCCCATTGGTACCAGTAACACAACTGTTAACATGCTTTATAATGTCCTCTACATTAGCACGTGACAAGTAAAGACTACCCCTGAACTTTCTATGCTCTTCTCTACAAGCAACCTTTACAGCATACTTAATGAGAGAGCTCATCCACTGTGTACACCTTTTGGTATTCTCCTTAATCACTGCAAGAAGCCAAAGGCTCAGATTTATTTAGTTAATAGATTGGTACCTGACTACTAACTGAATATACTCCTTGGTGTAGTGGTTGATCAGTCTCTTAAGCCATCACATTGCTAGTTGTAAGGCAAATAGGATTTTAGGTTATATTTAAAGAAAAATTTAATACAAGATTTAGGAGGTATAATTTTATTGTGTCGGCTATTGGCTATGCCAAACTTGTAGTACTGTGTTCAGTCTTGAACTTCTTACTTTAACTTCCCAGTCTCCATTTAAAACAGTTTTATTTTCCTGACAGTTTGATAGGGTGTGTAATGGGTTGATGTTGGCAGTAATGGAAGCCAGCACTTTACAGGAGTTTAAGAGGGGAATTGATGCATTTGTAAATAGATTATGTTAAGGGCCATGGGATTGAAGTACTCAAAATTATAAACTGTATCACTATTATGGGAGTTTGGAATTTTGTACCACCATGAAGAAAGACTATTCCCTTTCAAATTGCCCAAAATTTACCAGTTTGAAGTTTTAAAGAAGCAATGAAATATTAAAACATGTCCTTTCCTTTTCACTTTGTACCACAAAATAAACCTGGGAGAGTTGTTTATCAATAAATGAGGCAGTGAAAGAGTTATGGGAGTTGATAAGGTTAAGGAATGAGACTTTTTTTTGTTTTGAATTCTGAGGATAGTAGTATGAAAGATTATAAATTTAAGATTTTGAAAGTTCAGGCACACCTATAAATTATATATAAGAAAAGAAAAAGGTAACAAAAGGCCTTTATACATATCTCTCAAACAAACATACTGATATGCTATTATTTTAACCTATTGTAAGGTTATTGTAGCTTTGTAAAAAAAAACATCCTTTACTAGAGGAGTGACATTAACATCCTGGGAAAGTTTGTAGTTACCTAAGCTAAAAGTGAAAGGACAGGTTTAGTTTTCTCTGGAGGGCAGAAAAATTAGAGGAAACTTGATTTTGGTGCTCAAAACTGTTAAGGATTTAGAGAATTTTACTGTAGATTTTCTGTCTCAGTGGTAGAATGAAAAATCTGGAGAAAACATTAATGTTAGGGTTAAATACACTGAAGATTTATGCTTTATAAATCTAGATGTAGATTGTAATATGACAAAACTGGTTAAAAGTATATGCTTATGAAATGTTTTCCTGATGATGTATTTGTGCAGTTTGAATTATTATAAAAGGGCTATAGTTATGATGGCTAAATAAAAAATAATAGATGACCTCCGTAGGTCATCTCATGTTGAGCAAAGAAATATACTGCTTGGACAATGAATATTGTAATAACTGATAAAATAAAGGTAAATACAACAGCAAATGTGATTAACATAAAAGTTTTCAATTTTTCAATAACCACTGGTCATCATTTTCAAAAGACTGCTAGTAATTTTATAAACTTGTTTGCTGGTATATTTACATTTATCTTATCAGCTATGTTTGTGGTTTTGGGTTTTACATTAAAAAACATAAGACTATATTTGAAACTATTTTTAATAGTTAATAATGTAACAGATACAAGAATGTATAATTTCTTTTTTACCAAACAAGTTCTAGGCATGCAATGTGTTAAGCTCTTGTCATTGTATTTAAGAAAAAAAAAATGCTCATTTGACAGAGAGAATGCAGAGAACATCTACTAGGATGATTTTAGGTTTGGAATGGTTATTATGTGGGATAAACTGAAATAATTTGACATATTTTTTGCTGGAGAGAAGGGCTCGGGGGTTATTACTTAGGTTTTTGAGATTGTTAGAAGCTTCGAATCTATAAACCCATGTAATGTTTTCTTAAAAAATCCTGCAGGTAACAAGACTAAAGAACACAAGTTTTGTTAAATTCAAGGATATCTCCAGTTAACAAAGAGTTACTTTTCTAATAGGATGGTGGGTCTAACATAACATTTAATGACAAGAAAGGACCTATAGGTCCATCTACCTTTCTAAAATTTATATTTGTGTCCCTAGTTCTACCATTCTCATCATTAAGTACAATGAAAGATGATGCATCAATACTATCAATTCCCTTAACAATCTTAAACACCTCAATCACAGCCCCTATAATTCTTCTTTTTTCAATAGAAAATAATTTTGGAGAAATTAATTTCTCTTCATATGACAATCCTCCCAATTATCATCCTAGTAGCCCACCTATAAACATTTTCAACAATTCAATGTCCTTCCTAAGGTAAGGAGTCCAGGACTGAACATAATACTCCAAATATGGTCTAACCAGTGGAATTGTAATGTCTTTATACTTGTATTTACTATATCTAAAGATACAACCTAAAATCATCTTTGCCCTACAACTAGCAACAGCACCTTACTTGGATGGCTTAAGAGACTGATCAACCAGAACACCAAGATCCTTTTCTTCTGTAACACTATCAAGGTTATTTAATTTGATTTAATTTATTTATTCAAGTTATGATAATCTACATGAATTACCTTGTATTTATTATAATTAAAAGTCATCTGCCATTTATTCAACAACACAAGATGCAACACCCTAGACCTTAATATTAAGTAATTTATTTACTATTCCTTCATCTATCATTGATGTAAATCAAAAAGAGCAAAGGTCCTAACACTGAGCACTGAGATACCTCTCTCTTGACATTAATCTAGTTTGACTGAACTCCACTTACAACAACCCTCTTCCCCTTTTCTATCGACCCAGTTCTTATCCCCCACATCTATAGAAATCAATTTTTTAACAAGTTTTTTATGCTACACCTTATCAACTGCATTCTGAAAATTCAGATACACCAAATCTATACCCTTACCCTAATCTACATAATCAGTAACCTCTTCAACGAATGCCAAAAGAATAGTGAGGCAAGATTTCTTCACTAGTGAAACCATGTTGACTAACCAACAAAATTTTGAACATTGTTTAATGACATTGCAGAGCATCTTTTATTAGACTTTAAAAACTTTTGCCACAACCGATGAAAGACAAATAAGCCTGTAACTACTAAGACATATTTTATCTTCTTCCTTGAAAAGATGAGTAATAACATTTTATTCCAAACCTGATCAAAAAGTTCTGATGTGACTTTTACTTCTAAGATGTGACAGCAATGAAACATTTGACACAAATGTATAACAACATATGGACAACATGGAACCGTTTAGCCCTTCAAACCTTTTAATCTCATCCTTGGGAAAAGTAAAAATTTAAACCTATCATTTATTTTTCAGGAAATCATATATTTCTATTTTAAATTCCTGTCAAGTGCTGTCCTCCACCACTGTTGATGGCAACTTTGTCCAGACATTGTAACCCGTTAGACACATAACTGTGTTAACTGGAGCTTTACCCAGATTTTCTAAATTTTAAACTAGTGTTCTCTCATCCTGATGTCTTCACAATACACCACAAAGAACTCAAAGGCTTTTATATTATCATTCTCCCAGATAATTTTGTGAAATTGATAAGATCACATCTGATCTTTCTTTTCAAGAGAAACCAAGTTAAGAGTTCTTGTTCTATTAGAAAATGAGTTGCCATGAAAAGTTTGTAGAAAATAAATGAGACAGGAGGTGCTTTATGTTAAATTGTATCATGGAATTAGAGTATGATAATAGTTGATGAGATGCTGGAGAAAAAAAAGCATAAAGATGGAATGAGACATCAATATTACTTACAAAAAAAATGAAAACTTTCTAACATATTTAGGTAACCAACAAAAAGTGAGATATATTAATTAAATTACTGATTTAGATCAATAAAGAGTTCTGTATGTTACTAGTACTATGAAGATCCATATTCCAAAACATACTTACCTCCTCTCACACTACAGCTATTACTTGACTACTAGGGTTTCCTTCTTTTGCCCATCTAAGCATTGATCTGAATTTTTCTCGCTTGCTCCACTCTTTTATTCCCCGCTTAATTTCTCTTGGCAATATGTGTCACATGACA